AGCGTACCCAAATCATGGGGTGTGGTATCAAAAGTAGTTTTTCTCGACAACGATGAAATAGTACCACATTTGTACTAAAGTACCAACTTCGACAGCCCTGTGTGATTTTGTCAGCACGGTCAGGCGGGTCGAGTACTTGAGGCAGGCTCTGTACGCACACAGTGGATTAGGTTCACTGCAAAACTCCACTGTGCTTGGAGTTACTTCATCCCAGGGTACACGAGTGTTGCTGGTAATGAAAGAGCTAACGGACGGGCTGGCTCTGCCTTAGTTGCAGATGGTCGGCCTATGGATCGTAACATTATTAATGCCTTTAGAGCTATAGTTACCGTGCCAGAAATTGTACCTGTCACCTCCAGACGGCGTTTGTGCCTCGCCATGATTACAAGTGCACTAAGAACATGGTCAACTAGGCACCCCTAATAAAAGGTGTCTTATTGGCCATGTCTGTCGTACAACTTGAAATCCACAACTATGGAATACGGACAGAATTAATTTCAAACCATTTAAATGGCACCATAGGTTACAGAAATGTATATGCAATACATGAGACACTTATTAAAGGGTCAGGGCATTAGGAAGGTTGAGAACCATTGCCTTAGAGAGACCGCCCCTTCGGCGGTTTTTAGAAGTAGCGCCTCCACATGGTTACTGAGAAAAGGAGAATCGGGAGTAAAGATCGGCAGAGCCAGGCACAAAAGGCACACCCACGTAGGAGACTACATCAAACAATGACACGTTCTTTATATTTTTGCTGCAGAATATTTTCACACACGAGCTCACACACACGCACACGCAGACACATACCAAATAATTTAAGGCTGGGATTTTTTCATGTGGACTTCTAGTAATTTCCCTGGTTTCTAGGTAGTAAGTTCGGTCGCCTAATAGACGCCTATGTGTATTGTTGCGCACGTAAAAAAAATTCCCTTGGCGGTTGGAAATCGAAAAAAGTAGTCTAACGGCTGTGCCCGGGCAAAATTGTCAGTTAACAATCTAACCCAAAGTATTCCAGGATCCTGGCCTGTGCTACGGAGTTCGTGCACTGCACTGTGATTTTTCTGACTCAGGCTTGAGTTAGAAGTAAAACGAATCACTTAGTGGTTACTACCCGTGTGCCGTGATGTTGATGCGTTTTTCAAACCAAACTAAACCAAATACTTTAAGGTTTTCATTTGAAGCACCCTCTTATATATGTGTGTGAATGTCTTTATATGTGATTTTATGCAAGTATGTATATTTGTACGAAACGGTTACAGCTGTAATTGCGGGAAAATCTGAAATGTCAGCATAACGAGACCTAAGTTCAAGCCTTGTTTAATCAGCATGACGTAATCACGTGACAGACAGCTAACCGTACATCTCCCTGTGTGACAGGCCTTCCGGTGACAGAGATAAGACCCACTGAAGGTCAATCTAGGTCTAGAATTGTTCGTTATTTTGACACCTCACTCAGGGAGTGTTGCCGGGAGCCCTAAATTACCTATGGTTAAACAGGGTTCCTAGCACCTCTTAACGGGTAATCCTCGTCCGTATGCTGGCACTTTGTTTCAAATAGTGTTTATCGCTCACTGTAACGTCCTTGGGTGGGGGAGGGGGTAGACGTTTAGTCAATCTAGGTTCTTTAAAGCCAGTTAACCATGACAAAGCTCTTTCTGCAAAATAGGCTGAAAGTATGTGGTATTCTATGCTTGAAACTGTCCTCATGGCGCCTGATTTTTTATTTTTTTTTATGACCAGAACAAAACCGCCTAAGCGCAGGAGCCCGTATATAAACTATGTATATCAAGCGAGCACTTACATTGCATTCCTGTGAGTGGTTGTCGTAAGGGCCCCAGCACACTAAGTTTGCCCAGGGGCTCATAAGCTGTTAAAACGGCTCTGCTCCTGAGGACTTTCCCTAACGAATATATGGCGCGCTGCAATAAACCTCTATCAGTGGAAAACCTCCTAGTGGTAGCTAGCCCCAGAGAACTACAGGGAAGGATCAAACTCTCCTACATCACAAGAACAAAGGTGTGCTATGAGGTGTTTATCTTCTTCTTCTTTGCGTTCGCCAGCTGTAAACTGCAGCGGATAGTTCTGGTTGTTCATCCACCTCTGGAATTTAGACGTGTTCCAGTACCTGGATGTTGCGTGCACGTCCGCTTTACAGAACAGGCTTATTTGTATGCAGACTGTTGGTTCCTTGCCTCTCCATCAGATGCACTCCAACTTAGAAGGAAACCTTTAAAAAAGTCGACTTTTACGACATGCTTTTTGGGGGAGGAAGAGGGTCTATTTATGCCCCTCCCCCCCCCCCACCTCACCCCACAATGGGGTCCCGAAACCAACACGGGGAAGAGGTGTTAATATATAGTACGACAGAATAGGGATATACCTTGATTGGCACCTTTCCGTCCTTCCATGCGATAGTGTTTTATTGCGCAATGAGAAGGCATAGAACTCACAATCCATGGCGATGGCGAATGTGACTAGCAAGACCTGTCCACGTTAAAAAAAAAAGTCTTTCACAATTACAGCTTGGGATTTCATGACCGTTGTTGACTACATTTGTGTTCAGTCTGTCAGGGATATCCCAAACCCTCTTAATGTTCCTAAAGATAGGTACTAAGCATGATTATCACAATCATTCTAAACAGTACAGTCAAGATACATTGAATGTAACCAGCTATCACAATCATTCTAAACAGTACAGTCAAGATATATTGAATGTAACCAGCTATGACAATCATTCTAAACAGTACAGTCAAGATACACTGAATGTAACCAGCTATGACCATCATTATAAACAGTACAGTCGAGATACATTGAATGCAACCAGCTATGACCATCATTCTAAACAATACAGCCAAGATACACTGAATGTAACCAGCTATCACAATCATTCTAAACAGTACAATTAAAATATATTGATACCTAGCAATCACAATCATTCTAAACAGTACAGTTAAAATATATTGAATGTAACTAGCTATCACAATCATCCTAAACAGTACAATTAAGATATATTGAATGTAACCAGCTATCACAATCATTCAAAACAGTACAATTAAGATATATTGAATTTAACCAGCTATCACAAGCATTCTAAACAGTACAGTCAAGAAATATTGAATGTAACCAGCTAACACAATCATTCTAAACAGTACTGTCAAGATATATTGAATGTAACAAGCTATCACAATCATTCTAAGCAGTACAGTCAAGATATATTGAATGTAACCAGCTATCACAATCATTCTAAGCAGTACAGTCAAGATATATTGAATGTAACCAGCTATCACAATCATTCTAAGCAGTACAGTCAAGATATATTGAATGTAACCAGCTATCACAATCATTCTAAGCAGTACAGTCGAGATATATTGAATGTAACCAGTTACACTCCTTCACTCTGTTGCAATTAACTCATAATCTGTGCAATATTAAATAATCAAAAGTCACTGACAAACATAACAATCTTCTCCTTTTCTTAGCGTTCATTGGCTGTAAACTACGGCTGAAAGTGTTGGTTGCTCGTCCACTTCTTGACTTTTAGTCTTGTTCCAGAATTGAAATTTTGTGTGCACGCCGTTTTACAGATCTGGCTTATTTGTACGCAGACTGTTGATTTATCGCTTCTCTGGCAGATGCAGTGTGACTTTGAAGGAAACACTTCTAATTAGTCGCCTTTTACGACATGCTTGTTAGGGAGCAGCGGGTCTATTTGTTTTTCCTCTCTAAAATGGGGCCTCAGAACCCACTCAAGAAGCATAAGTATCAGATATCGAAAAAGAAAGACAAACTAAATATCCAAATTAAAATCCACGGGATATCATTCTTTAAATTGCTACTTTTTCATTTGCTCATTTGCCCGAGACATTTCGTTCATTAAATCTTTTATAACCGTTGTTATCATATTTCTTTCTACTCTATGTAGTTCCTATTTAATCGTTAAAACTGTTATAATTATTGTATCGAACCAATTGCCTAGATTAAAATACGTTAAGAAATGTAGTTAACTAATTTTATCAGCGGTCGCACGGGGGAGTTTCTTAGTACTTGGAGAGTTAACGCGACAAACAATTTATCTGTTTTTCCTGTACTGTCTGCAGTTGCAGAATTTCCTATAGTTGTCGCAGTGTACCCCAGCCCACTTGACAAACATTAAATGTACTTGGTTTCTGGTCCATTCAATCAAACGGGGATTTCCCGTCATTACAGCTATTGCACTGTTTCTCCAGCATAGGGCAAGTTCCCAAAGAACCAAAAGAATTCAGTAAGGCTTACAATACATCTGTCTATTTTTGTAAATTCCTTATAGAATATAAATTCACTGTCTCAGTCTATTCATTAGATATTGACTTACACGAAAGAACTTTTACGGACAGAACGTAAATGACTACATATTGAACGTATGAGTAGAGTAGTACGTGCAATTTCCTAAACTGCGGGCGGAAATCAGCAAACATGCATCTATCTTGTAAATTCCGGACAAAATATAACTTCGCCGTCTCAGCCTATTCTTCCAACAATAACTTACATAAAAGACGTAAAGAAACTTTCTTACAGAACGCAGATGACGTTTCTAAACAGAAGTCAGTAAGACCTACGTCAGTCTTTTTTGTACAGTTCTTATAAAATATAATTTCCCCATAGCAGCTTATTCTTCTGATAATAACTTGCACGAAAAAAAAAAGCAAATTTTTAGATCGAACGTAAATAACTACAGATTGAAAGTATAAATCTAACAAGCCATGTACCACTAATAATTACTTATTATTTATTGTTCGTGTCCGGCGGTTGCAATAAATTCGTTTTGCCAAAAAACCATGGTTCATATTTTGCCGCGGTTCCGGGCTCCAGCTGCAGTGGCGGCGGCTCTACGTCTGGTGGTGTTGGGGAAGACGAAAACCGTTCACAAGTTTAACGTCGCTGAACTTGGCAAGCGCCTGGAAGATCGAGGGGCAGGTTGGTTGCTCAAGCAGCAGTTGGTTTGTAAGACAGTAGATGCTGTCATGGCTGGGACCAGAAAGATCAACTTTGCAGACTTTGATGCGCTGGGTTTCGACATGGATTACACACTTGCGCGATATAAATTTGTGCCATTTTTCAATGTAAGTTTTGATAACTATTATTACTATTAATGTTATTGTTTGAACGGCAGTAATGTTCGACCTTTGTGTACTTATTTCGTAAATATTGAATCGTTGTTGTGTAATGTTTTGAAGCATTGGCATCATCCTGTGCCTTGCCATCGCAAATGTAGGGATCATCAGGTGTTCTTGTCTCAATCTCTGTGAGTGTGATGTTGGGTGTCAGTGTCGTCTTCACAATGATCGCTGGAGGCAGTGGATCTCCAGCAATATCTTTGTCTGTGTACACTGATCTCTGAGACGGCTGTTGTTAGACCATCTCTTGGTGTTATCCCCCACTTGTTTTATTGACTACATTTTGCTCGCCTGCAGCATGAGCTCAAATTTTAATTCCATTGTTGTGATGGGGTCTGCTACTGTTCTCACAAATTGATAATCTTGCAATTTTGATCGGACAAACATATTCCTGTGTGAGTTCTGTGGTACCACTTTGGGAGCAACAAAGAATAGACCCTCTGCGACTAGCATGTCATAAAAGACAAAATAATTAGGGTTAGGGGTGTACTGTATCCTTCAGAATCTGAGTGCATCTACCTAGCAGGTAGGAACCAGTGGTTTGCATACAAATAAGTCAAATCTGTTAAATGGATGTGCATGCAAAACTCAATTTCCGGAACAGGATCATGTCCAGAAGAGGGCTAACAGCCAGTGAATATGAAGAATGAGAAGAAGACAAACACAGATATCCAGTAACAACAATAAACAATCCAGTAAAACTTTTACTAAAAGATAACCCCTTCTACCCCCCCCCCTCCTTTTTCTTTATACACACACACCTGTCACTGTCTACCTCTTGCTTGCCTGCAATGTAATTCCCATGCCTCTCTATAGCACATTTTAACACTGTCAACTGGAAAGACAAAAAGGTGCCAACAACAGCACAAAACCAGACTTGACTATGCAAAAAGAAAGATAAAAAGGTTTCAACAACATTACAAACCAGACATTACCATGAAATGAGAGAGACAGGGAGAAAACAGTCTTGCACAAGATATCAACTCTCACATTTGTTAAGAGCTCAAATTTAAGTCCTTTTTTTTTCCAGATGGTATACGAAGGAGTGTGCAACTTTCTTGTAGAACACAGAAACTACAAGAGCTCTATCTTCCACGGCCTGCATGAGGACAAAGATCTCATGTAAGTTCTCAGGTTTATTTTGTTAACACACTTTTTTTAATCTACTATTATAATTAGAGAGCAGAATGGAGGAATAGACTGCTAGCCCTATGTGACATATATTGGCACAAGATGATGATGATCATGATTATATTATCATTATTATTATTGTAGTCCCCCTGTGTGGGTTCTAGGCCCCATTCCGGAGGGTAAAACATCTGTATCAGAAATGAAAGACAGTACACAAATGATTGCAGAAATATTTAGAGCCGAACGTATGTGCCACCCAAACAAGCATGTTGTACAAGCCGGCAAATTAGGGGTGCATCCTTTGAAGATGGATTACATCTGCCTGAGAGGCTAGGAACCAGCAGTCTGCATATAAATAATCCAGATCTGTAAAATGGATGTGCATGCAACACTCAGGTTTTGGAACAAGACTTAAAGTCTAGAACTGGACTAACAGCCAGAACTTACCACTAGAGTTTACAGCAAGTGAATGCTAAGAAGAAGAAGATTATTATATTTTGTGATGTCAAGTTCAGAATTAACACACACAAAACCATACACTTGGTCATCTTTGGGTTTTAAAAATTTTTTATGGTGCCTATCATAAATTTAGAAATAACTTTTAGTCCATTTTTTGCAAAACGAAAATATGGTGGCTCCTGAGAAAAACAGGCTGGCTCTTTAATGATTTTTAGTTTTGTGTACCCTTAGTAAGTTCTGAATGCAGTTTCATATTTCTAACATACCAGGGTTTAAAGTCAGCTATAGATGATTTGACATCAGACCACTTTGCTTTCATTGATCTCGACTGAGTAATTAGTAAAATCATTCAGAAAGCAGTGACGAATTAAGGACCCTTTTTCGTTCCTGTGTCGTATCTGGCATTAGATGTAAAACTCATTTGTATAAATCAGTACTTCATGGGTAATGAGTTCAGTGTCATGCTGGCCACCTTTACTTCCTAATACATTACCTATCACCCATTTTAGGATGGTCAGCCTGAGAGCCTAGGTTAATTTTGAAGAAATCTGCACTAGTATAACTACAAATAGCAAACTAATTCAGAGGTCCTCCTTCTTTGTCTTCTTCATGTTCCCCGGCTGTAAGCTGTGGCGGAAAGTTCTGGTTGTTCATCCACTTGTGGACAAACTTTCGTCATGTTCCAGAACTTGAAATTTGCATGTACATTCATTTGTACAGATCTAGCTTATTTGAATGCAGACTGTTGGTTACTTACTTCTTAAGCAGATGCATTCTTACTTTGAAGAAAAACCCACAATTCGTTGCCTTTTACAAAATGTTTGTTAGGAAGGCCGTGGATATATTCTTTCTTTTTTTTTTTTTTTTTTCTCTCTCCCAGAAATGATTCCCTGGAACATACAGGGAGCTGGGTGAAGTGGGGTGCCAGGAGGCAGGTCGACATAATTGATAATCCTGTCATAATAAGTTGCTAATTCTTCTACATCTACTTATCTTTTTTTTTGTGGGGGGTCATAATCAGTAGATATGGACGACTAAAAGCAACTAGGATAAAGACAGAATAAATAGAAATGAAGCAATGTAAACTTACATGGGATGTTGTGGACAAAAAAAGTTGTAGACTGGCTTGTTAGTGCCTTTTTTGGGTCAATGATGAGTATAAGGAATAAATAAGACTCTTGTATATGTAATGGGGGAACTATTGTTTCAAGCTGCTTATGAAAATACATGTTCTGATTTCAGCTACAAAGGCCTGATTGTAGATTTTGAGAAGGGCAATGTGTTGAAACTAGGTCATGATGGAATTATACTGAAGTAAGTCTGTAACAGTTTTTATTTTAATTTTTTAATTATTTTATTTAAACTGACAATACCACTAAAGATTGAATCTACACTTTGTCTTCTGAACTCTGAATGTTAAAAAAAGATTCTTAGAATACCAGGAACCAAGATGAGGGCACGTGCTGACATCCTTCATGGTCTGAATACTGTAACTAACTCACAGAGCATGTTGAGAAAGGTGGAGACATGTATGCTCCAGGCAGAGTGGGATGCATCACTTCAGAAGCACATATCAAACCCCATTTTTCATATGGGTTCCAGGGCCCAATGTGGGAGAAACAAGAATAGACCCACTGCCTCCCCAGCAATCTTGTCGTAACAGTCACTGAAATGTGAGCTTCCTTCAAAGTCAGAGAGCCGCTGTGTGAGAGGCAAGGAACTGGCAGTCTGCATACAAATAAGCCAGATCTGTCCCTGTCAACTTTCCTGTATAGGGTGTTGATATCCTGCACCAATTGTTGTGCTGGTCGACCACAGAATCTTCTTCCGGAAACCTCCCCCTCCTTAACTGTTTTCTCCAAACATTATGTGGTTTCTTATTCTTTGCATTCAACGGCTGTAAACTCTTGTGCCTTTTTTTCCCCCACCCTCCACACCCCATCAGTTATTCAGTTTTTTTTTTGTGTTTTTTTTTTATATTTTATTTAAATACCCAAATGTGAGAGATTTATGTTTTTTTTTTTGTTTGCCCTCTGCACTTCTGGGCTCAAGTCCTGTTCCAGAACATGAGTGTTGCATGTGCATCCGTTTGACAGATCTGACACATTTGTGTGCAGACTGTTGGTTTGCTTGCCTATCAAGCAGATGCACTCCAACTTTGAAGGAAGCTCCCAGTTAGTCGACTCTTACGACATGCTTTTGGGTAGACAGTGGGTCTATTCTTGTTTTCCCTATAACAGGGCCCTGGAACCCACACGGGATATCAAATCCCTAATTAGTCACCTTTTACGACATGCTTGGATACTTTAATTTTAGGTGACCCCATCTCATTTTTTAGGGGGCCGCATTTGCGCAGTCGATAGGAGACTGGCTTTAAATCCAGCTATGATCGCTGCAACCCACAGCCGGTGTTCAAAACTGGGCAGTTCCTGGGGTTCACCCAGCCTCTAGGTAATGGGTACCAGAGGTAACACTCTGGGGTAAATGGAGGAATGTTGCTGTAGCTACGAAGTTGCTTGCGGACGGTGACACAGGCCGACCGTTTCTTATCAACTGTCTGTACTGGTGGTAGAGCACTTATGATTCATAACCATGTGCAGTGACTCTGGTTCACATTTCCTGACTTTACTTTTACCCATCATATTTGCTTTAAGATTTGGTATGGAAATTCCCAGAACATCCCATAGTACAGGCGGGTTAGGGTTAGAGATAGTAGTAGTGGCCTAACCCTAACCCCCCTATAATATGGGAGTGTCCAAGACGAATCCCTGGGAATGAAATCTCGAAGCCGACAAGGTGAGGTCATCTAAAATTAAAGTACCCATGCTTGCTATGGGGCGGTAGGTCTCTACATTTTTCATTCAGGTAAATAACTGCCAAAACATCTTTATATTACAAACAATTTATATAGTATTATTTGTTTGTTCTATTGTTTGCTAATATAGAGCTGCCCATGGCACAAAAACACTATCACAGAAGGAGATTGAGACAGTGTACAGAGACAGAAAATTTGCAGACTACGAGACATTCAAACGAGGAATGAAGAGTGCTGATGGCAGTAAGTCATCTGTATATGTTTCTTCTTATAGTTCATACCGTGCGAAGTCATATCTCAGGGTAGCTGCAGGCAGTTAAGGGTCAGCGGCTGATAAGAGGGAGGTCATGGATGGCTCAGGCAGAAGACACAATCAGACAGGTTTGCATCCTTGAGAATATTAGGCGAGGACAGGAGTGGGTCAAAGTGCCACCTGAGCAGTCAGACTTGTGTAGAGTCAAAATGGGAATGCAGAGACTGGCCAGCAGGTGCCACAGAGGTGGAAATTCAGCAATTAATTCAAGATAATGCTCGCTCAGAGGATTTGATCGTTTACACAGACGGTTCAGTGTCAATAGGCAAAAGAAGTACTTGGGGCTTTTCAGCAAAAGTTAATGGTCGACGTTTGGTGCAGGAGAGCCTAGCATATGATACCACAACATCCAGCTTAAGAATGGAGGTGGAGGCAGTCACTGCAGCTTTCCGCTGGCTAGAGAACACGACACACACACACATTGTAACTGTAACTGATTCAGAAAGCATGCTGAGGAAGATCAGAACAGGTATGCTTCGTGCAGAGTGGCATGCTTCGCTGCAGAGGACACGAGTGAGGAGCATTGTCTGGATTTTTTCACCGGGTCACACGGGATGTGTTGGGAAATGAACAGGCGGACAGACTGGCTGGCTCTGCACAACTTGGTGGAATACTGCTACATGATAGGTCAGACGTGGTTAGTGGCTTGTGAGAGAGCGTGTACAATGCGGAGGAGCAGATGGATCACCACAGTCTAGTGAGATTGATGCAGTTGGGGGTGACGAGAGGTTCTGGCAGAAGCTCAAGGCTCAGAGGAAAGTCAAGACGGACGTTTAATCTGAAAGCTAATGGCACCATTAATATCGGAACTCTTCGCTGGCTGCTGAAGATGGGGACGGAGCACTTATGGGAATGCCCCGAGTGCTGTGATGTCGGTTCTTGAATCAGATCTAATCAAATCAACCACAACCTTCTGTCCCATGTACTTTCAGTCAGCTCTGACAGATAGATGATCTTCTATGCCATGATGTCAGACTGTCCAGTAACTTCTCTCTGTCTTCCTTTACCTCTGTTCCCCTCCAGCTTTCCCACCCTCATGAATGTACTCCAGTTTTCTTCTTATTTCATAGTTGATGAATGTAGTCTCCTTCTGATGTTGCCAGTCAGTTCTTTTCATGAGTCAGTTTCTTTCAAGACATCTTCAATACTATTGTTATCTGTCCAGGGTATTAAATCTACATCTCTGCCATTTCTAAATAATTTGTCCTTAATTGTGTAGCTGTCCCTGTTTCACATCTGCAGATCGCGATAGGATTTATATAGCTTTTGAGAATTCTCTTTCTTGTCTCAAGTGTATGCTACTGTATATATACAGTTTAAAAACAGTACCTAATACTGTAATAGTACCTAGTACTGTATATAAACTACCTAGTACTGTATATAAACTACAGTAGCCTATTCTTGGGGGGGTGAGGTAGTGCAGTGGCTAGGCGGTTGCCCTGCAAGCCTAAAGGGAAGGCTTCAAACCTGCTCTCAGGTCGACCCAGCCTAAAATGTGTCTCGGGAAATGTCCTGGGAAGTAAAAGAGGCTATTGAAGTTAACCACATCACTAATCAAATGCTGATTAGACTATTCAAAATATCGATTTAACCTGTCATGTCGTCATTGGTATGAGAAGGGTCTTTACATTTTTTGCATGTTCTTTCTTATTATTTTTGTAATTCATTCTGCTGATTGTATGTTTACCTCTGTTGGCTATAGCATTTCAAAAGGAATGGCTTTTCTGAGCAGTTAGGAATGCCTGGCCCTCATTTTGGGAGACCTAGGTTCGAATATTTGATAAGGTTATAGATTTGTTTCTGCCGTAGGTATAACATTTGATCCTAACTTGCAGCCCTTAACCCTAACTCTCAAGACACCCCCCCCCCCCCCCCCAACCTTTTTGACACAACCCTAAAAAGTGGAATAAACAGGCAGTAATTACAGTATATATAGTTCAAGCAGTTGACATTACATGGCATATTCTTCTTCTTCTTCTTCGTGTTCACTGGCTGGAAGCTTAAACTCCAGCAAAAATTTCTGGTGATTCTACTTCTAGACTTGAGTCTTGTTCCAGTACTTTAGTTATGGTTGCATATCTGTTTTATAGATCTGGCTTATTTGCCTGCTCACTGCTGGTTTCTCAGCTCTGAAGCACATCCACTCTGACTTCGACAGTCATCATCATCATCAGTTCTCGTTATGCATAGTAGCACATGAGGCTTCAGAGAGGACTTTCCATGCTTTCCTGTCCTGCGCAATCTTCTTCGACAGAAGCATCCATAATTAGTCGACTCTTATGACTTGCTTGTGAGGGGGCAGGGGGGTCTATCCCCCCGTCCCCTCCCCCACGGTGCTTTGTTGAATTCTTTTCTTTGCAAATGAAAGAATCTCACTGTGTAAAACAGTCTCTGTCAAGATCAAATGTGTGTGTGTGTGTGTGTATTATGTATCACAAAATTAACAGTTTTTCGATATTTTGTTTTTCAGAATGGAGATTTTTTGAAAACTACTTTGACATCCCAGGACTTGTAGCCTTTGCTAAAATAATTGACTATTACAGAGAACAGGTACTGTTGCTGTCTGTTTCGGCATGTATTCATTTCAGATGAACCCTTCTTGTAATGTTTCTTCAGTCGCAGACTGCTGTAATGTTTGTTCTGTTCTATTCTGTTTCTTCTTTAACAGAATTCTCTATAATTGAAGGTTCTGTATATTGTCATTTTGTAAACCGTATTTCTTCTCCTTCTTCACTTTCACTGGCTGTATACTCTGACAGAGAATTATAGTTGTTCATCCACTTCTGGACAGTTCTTATTACAGAACTTAAGTGTTCATTGTACATCCAATTTACAGATCTGGTTAATTTGTGTGCAGACTGTTGGTTCCTGCCTTTCAGGCAGGTGCAATCCGACTTTAAAGGAAATCTCTAATTAGTCGACTCTTATGACATCCTTGTAAGAGATGCAGTGGGTCTTTTCTTTCCCTCGATCTTCTCTGTCCCTCTCCACAATGGGGCTCCGGAACCCTCATGGAGAGTAAACAGTGTTTGTATTATTGTTGACTGTGCTTTTACCTGGAGTGGATTTACTTTCTTGTTCATGCAGAGCTTTGTGGTAATGATAGAAATTGTACTGTGACTTTCAGAGCATCAGCAGTGGTCAAAGTATATAATAATGCACTTTATGTGACAGGCATGAATTGTCGCACCCTAGACTTGGAATTCTGCATTACTCAATTGTTTTTTGGGTGGTAGTAGGAAAAATTATGTATAAACAGCAGTAAAACTTATCAGCAAACTATGGAAACAATTGCCATCCTACATTTTGACAGCTACTCACTATGCATTTTGTTCGTCCTGAGTCCTATTTTTAGTTCTGCTTAATCATCATAATAACTAAAATTACATGGGGGTTGAGGGGGTTAGCCGTTCAGTCTATCAGAAGTGAACAGAATCAGGCCAGTGATGTCTACCACCTACCTGACCTGCACAGACAGGTCATCAAACTAGATCTCAAGAAAAGGCATAACAAGCTTCAGCAAACGGGCATATGCACAGGATTCATGAGTGATTGGATAGGATTACTCACAACATGCATATGCACATGATTCATGAGTGAATAGTGAGGAATTATCATCCAATATGCATATGCACATGATTCATGGGTGATTAGTGAGCATTATCATCACAACATGCATATGCACATGATTCATGAGTGAATAGTGAGCATTATCATCACAACATGCATATGCACATGATTCATGAGTGAATAGTGAGAATTATCATCACAACATGCATATGCACTGGATTCATGAGTGATTAGTGAGCATTATCATCACAACATGCATATGCACATGATTCATGAGTGAATAGTGAGGAATTATCATCACAACGTGCATATGCACATGATTCATGAGTGAATAGTGAGGAATTATCATCACAACATGCATATGCACTGGATTCATGGGTGATTAGTGAGCATTATCATCACAACATGCATATGCACATGATTCATGAGTGAATAGTGAGGAATTATCATCACAACGTGCATATGCACATGATTCATGAGTGAATAGTGAGGAATTATCATCACAACATGCATATGCACTGGATTCATGAGTGAATAGTGAGGAATTATCATCACAACGTGCATATGCACTGGATTCATGAGTGAATAGTGAGGAATTATCATCACAACGTGCATATGCACTGGATTCATGAGTGAATAGTGAGGAATTATCATCACAACGTGCATATGCACTGGATTCATGAGTGAATAGTGAGGAATTATCATCACAACGTGCATATGCACTGGATTCATGAGTGAATCGTGAGCATGATCATCACAAGTGTTCTAATCTCCTCCTATATAGCTGCACAAAAGCATAAAATGAATGCTGTTGCCTTTTCTGCTTATAAACCACACAACATGACCTGCATGATGATCCCTTGTACAGACCACTAAGAAGGCAATACTGGCTTTAATGAGTCACACTCCAAGACATATGAGTCTAAAAAGGAAGCACACACAAAAAAGGTTAATTTTATCATAATAACTTGTCAAATCAAGAATTTGATTCCAAGAAGAAGAAGAAATATTTAATTAGTACTTAAATATTTCAAAACTTGTGAGATGGTATTAGCAAACTGATAATTACACATCATTCATGTGTTCCATACAGAACATCTGTGAGAGCTCAAGCACTTATGAGTATGTGTGGGCAGATGTTCTGGCAGCCTTAGAGGACATGTATTCACCTTCACATTTTGCAGGTAGCCTCTTGTGCTTGCTCCTTTTTCATTTTAGTACCTAAAATATCCTAGATGATCTGAGCATCGGGTAGAATTGGCTCATAAACAGTGTCCTGTCTTAACAGCTGAGGTATTTTTGCCTTGTCAAATGCCAAGATGGTCTAAAGAGAACGATGGTGGATGGTGTTGTTTGCAGAAGACGAGGCAGAGGCTGACCTTAAGATAGAAGACCTTGAAGATGCATTGACTATGAAAGCACATGGGGTTGGAGAACTGGCCTGAGAAAGACCTTCAGTTATGTCGTTCGCCATGTGGGTTCCAGGGCCGCATTGTGGGGAAGACAAGAATAGACCCACTGCCTCCCCAACAAGTATTGATCATTTTCAGATCCATCTGCCTACCTATCTTTCCCATCCAGGCTGCTGCCTGGGAGTTGATTACCCCTGAGACCTCACGCGTCTCATCCTCTGGCAGGCTTGTGGGCAAATCCCAGGTACCCTGTTCAACCTCCAAAGAAGTTACAATTATGGCACGCATAATGGCTGCACCAAAGGGATGTTACCTTATAGCCTATGCAGGTATTATAATGCCCTATTACAGGCGGCTTCTTTTAAAAGGAAAGGATTCTTGTCCATACCTTCAGGCGTATTCGGCTTATTGAGCTATACCTGAATTTTATAGACCAATCCATCAATGGGCAGAGAAATTAGCTCCAGATTTGCCAATGCTAATTAAGTAATGGGGAAACTATCTTCCCTGTTGACACACAAGCAGATACATCGGAGTACTAAAGTGAATCTTTTCAGAACTATTTTTTTAGCCAACGTTATGCTATCAATGCCAAACAAGGACACTTACATCCCCCAATGAAAGTAAAATTGTGACAACCGAGATGAAATGCCTTAGAAGAGCTGCAGGAGTTTCAAGGAAAGACAGAATACGCAGTCATGAAATCAGACGAATGCTAGGAATAAAGCCAGTCTTACAGGTCATCAAAGAACATCAAATGAAGTGGTTTGGACACCTAACAAGAATGCCCTGGTACTATCTGCCACAGCGAACCACACTAAAACGTTACAACTGGTATAGAGCGAGTGGAAGACCTCGGAACGGATGGAGTGATGACATTAAGAACAGCCTTACAGAAATGAACATCAGTCTTAATAGTGCTCTTGTTGTGCTCATTAATGAACATCTCCCCCCAACACATCGATGAGGTACAAGGTGGAAGAGAAGAAGAAGAAGAAGATCCATCAATAACTTAATGATTGATGTGGTCACCATCCCGCCGGCCTCCTTTATTTCCCAGGACTGCACTTGGGTCAACCTGGGAGCCAAGGTAATTTTTGAAAAAAGCCCTTCTTCTAATAATCCATGCTAAATGGCAATCATTTCTGGTCACAGCTTTCTGATTTGCATACTGTAAGTCATTTCAAAGTTTACTCCAGTTTGCGTTCCTTATGTGCCTAAACAATACGGAGTGTCATCTTCTGATGTGGGTGATCAGTTCTCTTTAAGAGTTAATTTCTTTCAAGACTTCTTCATTATGTGTCTTGTCTGCCCATTGTGTTTTTTGTAATTCTTCTAGAAAAACCACATCTCTACTCCTTTCACATAATCTTTCACTAATCTACTGGGTGTCCATAATTCCCTTCAGTATAACAGAATGTGCTCTGTATCGCTCAGTTGACAAAGGTAAATTACATAGAATATTTTTCACGTGGGGATAAGATAACATGAAGTCACTTCTTTGGACTTAATAGAGATATTTTTCTTCATGTTATCTTCTACAGTTGAGATTTTTTTTTTTTTTATTGTTGAATTCATCCAAAAAGTGAGAGTTGTGTAATAATGTGGTTTTTGATCCACTTTCTGACCCTTTATTGCCGACTTCATGATCTCTTCAGAGAGAGAGTGGGCTCATTACTTTGCCTTTACTTCATTTGTTGTCCTATCCAGTTTCCTTCTGGGGGCTGAGAACAGGATCCATAACAGGAAGGTGTTGTAGGCTTGAGCAAAAGAGGCTGATAAGCATTATAAGTTTTGAATTGCGTATAATTGCTCTATTAGAACCCCATTGTTTTATGAAAGAGATCAATCACACTCTTTCAGAAATTTCAAAAAAAAAAAAAAACTTCAACAGTAAAATATCTCATAATTTTGTAATAGTGATCCATTTTTTTTTAAAACTTATTTCTATTTTTAGAGAATAAAGGAGATTTCTTCAAGCACATGACACAAGAGATTCACAAATATGCAGAACCAGTTAGCCAGCAAGTGAAAGACTGGCTGAGAGCTTTACGCCAGAATAACAGGAAGCTGTTTCTGCTGACTTCCTCATATCCAGATTTCGCTGCTTATGTCATGAACTTTATTATGGGGTAAAGACAGTTTTTAATTTTCTTTCTTTGTCAGTGGGATACAACTAATGTGTCAGTTTGTGACCAGAATTGTTATAGTTTGACATTGTTTTTGGTGGGTTGCCAGAATCGTTATAGTTTGACATTGTTTTTGCTGGGTTTTTCTTGTTTCATCTAGTTTGTGTCTTATATTTAAATTGTTGCCAGATGGCCATGAGTTTAAGAATGAACTAAAAGAATAATAGTGCCACGTCTCGTCTTTGTTTTTTAAGGTTTTTTTTTTGGGGGGGGGGGGGGGGGGGTCTTTTTAGGGGCAGTTGATTTTTTTCCTTGTGTTATAACTGAGATATATAGTGTCTAATTTATTTGCCCATACCCATGTAGGACTGCAGTTTTTGCCTGGCTAGTGTAGCCCTGTGGGTACCCTCATTATAACTTTTTAGGGTAGAGGTATCTGGGGTCTGCTGTCCAGATTACAGCTTCTCAGTCTCGGAATGGTATGGTAAACCTTTAGGCAGCATCCCAGAGAGAGAACAGATCAACTGATCGACCAATCTAATTTATTTCAGATGATGTATTTCTGTTTGTTTATTAACATTTTTCAAACAGTGATGACATTTTTTAATTCTTCAATCCTGTATTACTTTCTTGTTTTGGACTTTAGCATTTTATTTATCTGTGTCATGTAGTATATGTTATATATAATCCTGCTAATTTTGTTTATATGTTGTTGTTTTATTTTTTTTTTAATTATACAACTCTGACACATTGTTGGGTCATTGAGATGATCACCAGGAACACTACACAAAAATGACTAATGAACCCATGAGAATTGCCAGAACAGATCCTTTACACAAACTACCACTTCTGTTTCTTCTTCTGCTGATGCTGCTTTGGTGGTGGCTTCTGCTGCCCCTCCTCCTCCTCATCCTTCTGCTGCTGCTTCGGTGATGGCTGCTGCTGCTCCTCCTCCTCATCCTTCTGCTGCTGCTTCGGTGATGGCTGCTGCTGCTCCTCCTCCTCCCTTCTGCTGATGCTGCTTTGGTGGTGGCTTCTGCTGCCCCTCCTCCTCATCCTTCTGCTGCTGCTTCGGTGATGGCTGCTGCTGCTCCTCCTCCTCATCCTTCTGCTGCAGCTGCTTCGGTAGTGGCTGCTGCTGCTCCTCCTCCTTCTGCTGCTGCTTCGGTGGTGGCTGCTGCTGCTCCTCCTCCTCATCCTTCTGCTGCTGCTGTTTCTTCTTCTGTGTTTAACCTTTCAGGAAACCCTTAGTCACGCTCTGCAACATACTTGTTAAGGACAGTGAGTCTGTATTTTTTTCCCACCAAAAAGATTGGATGCGGAAAATCACACAGAATGAAGCATGTAAAAAAGGAAGATTTTTAAATTATGTTTTGTTATATTAATTTCCGTTTGCCTAGGTCCGACTGGAGGTCTTACTTTGACCTAATATTAACAGGCGGGAGAAAACCCAGGTTTTTCACAGAATCAAAACCATTTATTGAAGTTAGTAAGTAAACATTTGTCATTGTCTGATAAGTTGAGAGGGTTTATTGATTTCATATATATTTATATATATATATATATATATATATCTTCTAATAGTCCTTGCTGTGTGGTGCTGGTCGTCATGTCCATCCCCAACATTCTCACTCATGTACTTTCAATCAACTCTGATGCAGATTATCTTTTCTCTTGGTTTCCCTCTGCCTCTCCTTCCCTCCAGCTTTTCTACTGTCATAGTGATTAGAAAGGATTTTCATCACAGCACTCTGAACAGATCCATAGATGCTCCGATCTCCTCCTCAAAAGTGTAAAATGACTGATTACACCTGTTCTTTGTTGGTTAATGTAATGTCTTGTCCCCTTAGTGAAGTATTCATTTCTTGCAGCTCCAGGCTACACCCCCATGTCCATCAGTCTAGACAGGGATACGGAGTCATGTCCTTTGTCATATCTTTCCACTGTCATGTACTCCAGTCTTCTCCTTCTCCTGACATGATCAAAGAATGTAAATTATCTCTTGTACAAATTAGTCGATATATATGTATGTATATGAATATATATAAATATCAAGTATTAACTGACCATCCTGTCATTAAATCTTGTTATTTGATTGGATTCAAGAATGATTATCATTGCATTATAAAACAACTATTCGGGCTGCATCAGTAACACTGGGAGTAATTTACAAACAGTGACACACATATCTTGTGACTGACTATCACTTTAACTTGCACTGAGCTAAAACTGCTGGACATAGCTCAGCCTTCAGACAGATTAGAAGTCATATTTATTATTTGAAATCACAGCACCCACCCTCACCCACCCCCATTATTTATTTTATTTTTTAAAAAAATTCAGTGATAAGTATACCTAATGTGTAAATAGTTAGTCTTTCCTCTTGAGCCTAGGGTGGTGCGTAGGGCAGAGGTCATAGCTCTCCATGTCTGCAGTTTGTTGCCACCTGTTTTAGACCTTGGGTGTTTATTATGCTCATGGTTGAGCCTTCCCTGATGATGGTTCTATGCAGGGTCTCTCTTGGTCTTACCCCTTTTTCTATTCCCTTCTGGTGTCCATATTAAGGCTTGATGAGAGAGTCTTATCTTATCCATTCTGATTGCCTGGCAAATGTAGTTCCAGCGGCTCTTTCTTATAAAATTGGATGTGTAGATGGAAAACTTGTAAATGTTTGGAATGCCTTTTGGCCTAGTTCGTTCGATTTCAGTAAACCCCTAATTAATCTGCTTTTACAACAGGCTTGCCAGGGGGTGGGGGGGGGGGGGGGGGGGGGGGGGTCTTTTTTTCTGTTTCCTCGCCAAAATGGGGCCAGGAGCTCACGTGGGGGTGAATTTCCTGAAAATAAATTAAATTCTTCACTCTTTCAGTCCTAAAGAGAAAAATTATCACAATGAAAAATCGTGATTTAATGCAAGATTTCTTTAGTAACAGAAGTAATCGAACATATTATGTAATGTTTGAGATTCTTGAGAACAAGTTTATCACACAAACTGCACTGCTTGGGACAAAAAAAGTTAAAATACAACTTATTATTTTAATAATCTTTTCTTTACTATTGGTGGTGTAAAGGTACTTTATCTTCTTCTTCGCGTTCACCAGCTGTACACTCTGGCAGAAAGTTCTCGTTGCTTGTCCACTACTGAACTGCAGTCCTGCTCCAGAACCTGATTGTTGCGTGTGCATCAGTTTCACAGATCTCATTCTCTTGAATACAGACTGTTGGTTCCTTGCCTCTCCGGCAGATGCACTCCGACTTAAAAGGAAGCTCCCCAATTAGTCAACTCTTACAACATACTTTTGGGGAGGCAGTGAGTCTATTCTTGTTTTCCCCTACAATGGGGCCCCGGAACCCACAGGGGGGGTACTTTATCACATCAGATCCAGTCAGTATGGTAGATATGGTGTTTTTAGTTGTGGCAAGTTTTTGCTTCAGACAGTAGTTAACCATCGCATTTTTTCCATGTATAGACTAATAGGATATAGTTCCATTGCCCAGGTAGTGAGTTGAGTGCATGGCATTACACTGGGAGTTACAGATTTGACTTGGAATTCTTTTCGGCTATGCCAAATGTGGTTTCTGTTGTGAACAGCAGATTCAGAAAATGCTGAGTAGCCTGTTGCCAGAGTATTGTTGGTGAATTATGTGATTAATTGAGTGTGCAACTACTGAACTTGTGCCTCCATCGACAGTGAACTGCATTTCTCTGTTTGGACTGTGTTGGCCATTCTATGGCTGCTTTATGCATTTAATGTGAGGGTATGGAGCCTGTGTTCGTTTATTTAAGTGACAGGGATGGACATTCTTGGTGGAAGGGTTTTTTTGGGCACAGGAATGGAGCAACTAAGGGTTAACCTGTTTGCGATGAAGTAAGAACTGTGGTTACCCTGATTACCTGATATCACATAATTGATGGGCCTGCATGCCCAATATGTGATTCTTTGAAGATAGTTTGTTCATTGTAATTTTGTTCTATAATTTGTTTAGGTACTTCCTTAATATAGGAAAACCAATATTTAATTTTATGTACAGAGGTGCTGTGGGGCAATTTTTTTATTGTTGCTAAAATTATACTAATATCTCTTAAGGCTTGAGATTTCTCATGAAAATGATTTTGAGGACCTTTTCTATGCTTTGAGGGATGTTTGGCATATGATGCTAATTCAGTATATTTTTTTGCTAACACGCTACAATAGAGACCCAGTTATAGCATTGTAAACTTGTTTCAGAGAATCAAAAACTGGGACAGGAAGTCAAGAAACTAGAGACAGGGGGAGAGTACTGTCATGGAAACTACTCTGATCTAATGGTGTTTCTCAGGGAAGTCACAGGGAAACAAGACCCACAGGTAGCTGTGTATTTATTTCTAGTGCCATAAGTAGTACTTATATCTGGAAGGCTGACCTGGGCAACAACAAAAATGCCTGGGAAAAAAAAGTCAATTCTATCAGCCAAAAGGTGCAAATGTTGCAGTCATGCTCTAAAAGAACACAGCTTACATCTGTCGATAAACACAGAAGAAAAGGGATAAGAAGAAAATGAGGCTGTTGTTTTTCCTTGTCCAGAAATGATAATAGTGTCAAGATATAACTAGCTGAGGACACAGATTGAGAGAAAGCAGATGACATGTTCTTCCCTGTACTCTGAATGTCTGCTAGTTGTCCAGTAGCGCACAGTCCCAATGTTTGCCTATCTGCCCAGAGGTCTGGGATTTAAATCTACATTGTGGCAGAATGCCTGGGCTGCCAGCCTAACATAGGCACTGTTCTTGGAAGTAAAGGCTGCTGGCATAATGTTGATAATATCCCCCATTGAGATCTGGTGAGTCTTCACACAAACTGTTTAGTGCACCAAGGAAATCTACTTCTTAGTGTTCACTGGTTGTAAACTCCAGCGACAAATTCTGGTTGTTCATCCATTTCTGGACTTTGGCCTATTATCAGATTTGTTTGGTTCTCTCCCATAGCTCAGAATTTGTGATTCTATCTTATCATTTAATTGCCTCTATTCACAGGTAATCAATCTGTGCATTAGTGATTCCATCATACTCTTTAATTCCCTCTGTTCACAGGTAATCTACTTTGATGATAATTTGCGCATTAGTGACTATCAAAGCCTTTAAATCCCTCTGTTCACAGGTAATCTTCTTTGGTGATAATCTGTGCATTAGTGATTCCATCATACCCTTTAATTGCCTCTGTTCACAGGTAATCAATCTGTGCATTAATGATTCCATCATACCCTTTAATTCCCTCTGTTCACAGGTAATATACTTTGGTGATAATCTTGTATTAGTGATTCCATCATACTCTTTAATTCCCTCTGTTCACAGGTAATCTACTTTGATGATAATTTGCGCATTAGTGACTATCAAAGCCTTTAAATCCCTCTGTTCACAGGTAATCTTCTTTGGTGATAATCTGTGCATTAGTGATTCCATCATACCCTTTAATTCCCTCTGTTCACAGGTAATATACTTTGGTGATAATCTGTGGGCTGATGCCTGGCCATCCAAGACACTGGGTGGCTGGAGCTCTGTACTGGTGCTGGAGGAGATGGACGCAGAAGGGTACATTGTCTCAGATGGCACTGTTCCAGGGCATGAGATAGTCATAGATGATCCAAACAAACCTTTGTCCAAGCAGAAAATCAAATATGAGGTATGTCTTGTACTTCCAGCCAAAATGGCCAACAACTGGTTGACTGGTAACATTCTGAAAAGGTATTTGTTTCTAGCTAGATTTTGCTTATGCAAATGGCCTGTTTCTGGATCAGAAGTCAACTACTGGGTTGAGTTTTTGATGTGAGCTGTAGATTTCATGTGTAATGGAGTTTTTTCGGTTGTACCTGTGGCGTGTTGTTGACCGCACTTAAATGACGGGTAGCTGGTTACATTCAGAATGGCGTGTACTTATCTGGGTCCAGTGCTGGCCTTTATGACTGCCTTTTTGCAACAACAGTAAGCTATATTTAGCATTTCTGGCAGCAGCGTTATGCATGTTAGCTTTGCTGGCACATGCTTGAAGCCTTTGCAGGGAATGACAAGTTTTCAGCCGTGACAGTATAGGACATTTTTTGTGATTTCCACTAGCACAGGAACCAAGCACTTGTAGGGCGACATGTCAGCTTTGATGTTGGAACCTCGACTAATTTGTACAAACATAAAAGCTAATAAATTTTATACTTGTAGGTGAACTCATTAAATATTCACCAGACCATCAGATGTCGATCAGTTACTTTCTACATGGCCATGCTGTAAACAATAAAGAAAAATAAAAGTATTGACTGGGAGTTGCCATGGCGAAGCAGCTAAATGCTCACGTGCCGATTGGAAAGTCGTGGGGTCACTCCCTTGTGGAGCCGGTTTGTTTTTATAAATGACCTTGATGCCCAGGTAGACCCAGCCTTGAGTGGGTTCCGCAAAGTAAAGGCAGCCGGTGTGATGCTGACCACATCACCCATCTTGTGCCGATTGGTCTTTAAAAATATAGGTCTAGCCCTATACGCTTGAAGAAGGGACCTTTACTTACTTATTTTAAAAGTATGGACTCGTGCCGCCAGGAAAGAAAGCTGCACATGGGGAATATTACTTCTGCTAAACTGTTCATTGTATATTGCTTCTGAAAAACGCAACACTCAGATTCTGGAACAGGACTGCAGTCCAGAAGTGGACGAACAAACCAGAACTTTCCACCAGAGTTTTACAGCCGGTGAACACCAAGAAGAAGAAGAAGAAGCTTTGGTAATAAATTTAAATACATTTTCATTATTACTACCTTTGATATTAGTATTGCTTATGTGTTCTCAACGAGCAAAATGGAAGCAAAGCATTTTTTAACACAGTAATTTAGCATGGATGCTGTAAGAGTTGACTAAGGGAAGTTGCACAAGCAAGTCAGGCATGTCTGCTTATTGATAACATGGTCAATATAATCATGCAAACTAGAAATAACCACCTACTCTTTAAGAGGTTACAAATGCTGTTTGTAATTTTGCGATATTTATTTTGTTTTCAGCTGCTCCCCATGTGAGTTCCAGGGCCCTATTATTGGGGAGGGGGAGGTAGACCCACTGCCTACCCAAAAGCATGTCGTAAGAGTTGACTAATGGGGAGCTTCCTTCAAAGTCAGAGTGCATCTGCCTGAGAGGCAAGGAACCAACAGTTTGCATACATATGAGATCTGTAAAACAGGTGCGAGTTCTGGAACAGGACTGCAGTCCAGAAGTGGATGAACAACCAGAAGTATCTGCCGGAGTTCACGCTGGTGAACGTGAAGAAGAAGATTTCAGATGCGAGTGATTTAGCTGTAGACCGGTTTGCATTGATTTCTACAATGGCATAGAGAGCCAACAATTCAGAAAGCAATGGCAAGCTGCTTATTTATAAAAATTGCCTAGTAAAACCACAAACAGCCAACACTTACTGGGTCTGGTTTTGCAAAGTCTTCTAAAGGACACAACACCCAACTCACTTTCTAATCTTTGAGAGTAAACTCAAACTCAGTTTTTTAAAACATCATGCTTCACAAAATCCTCTGTCCTCTAAGAGTTACATCCACATCCTCTAAGAGTTAAGCATCCACACATCAATGATATGTTATTTTTAATGAATACAGCATAGCTCCCTCGTCACAACAGAAGAAATTGAGTTAATGGTCAGTGACTTTTGGGGCTCCATTTTTCTGGATGAGAATTCAACAACCAATGAAGTGCTGCCACAGTCTAGGTTTCCCATCGAGGCCAGGCAGATGAACACAGCCTTTGGGGATCTTATATCACAGTACTCGGATATCTGTGTTCCCAGCATTGAGTATTTATCAGGTACAGCCTTGCTTTCTACAGATTTGCTTTAATCTGGGGCTAATACTGATGTCTCCTTCTGTGTTTTACTTCTTCTTTTTCAGCTGCTCTTCCTCCTCCTCCTCAATTTTACATTCTAAACCTACTGCCCTGTACGCAGGATTACTGATGTGCAGTACAAACTCCTTTCACCGCAGTGGCTAACTTCTTCTTCTTCATTATCACCACATCGTCATATCATCCATTCCTTTTTCTGCTAGTCTCTTTTTTCTTCTTCTTCTCCTTATGATTATTATTATTGAGCATCATCATTCCTCATCATCATCATTCCCTTTTTATGCTAGTCTCTTTTTTTCTTTCTTCTCCTCCTTTTTATTGTTATAATAATTATTATTATGGAGTAGCTTGTGTATTCAGTCAGCTCATGCCAAACCATAGTATCATTTATCATATTTTGTAGCTTCCTCTTATATACCCTTATATGTTTCACTTCATACTTAATTGGGAGTTGCCTTGATGTGGCAGCTAGATGCTCACCGGCGGATAGGAAAGTCATGGGTTCGGGTCCCGACAGTACTGGACTTGTCTGTCTTTTTTTTTTCTTTCAATGATCTTCTCCCCCAGGTCGACCCACCCTTGAGTGGGTAACATATGGAGTCCTGGGAAGTAAATGCGGCAGGTGTGACTCACTGACCACATCACTCTCCAAGTGCCGATTAGTCTGTAAAATATAGGTCTAGCCCTATATGCCCGACACGCCTGATGACATGGAAAAGGGTCCTTTGCTTACTTTACTTTACTTCATACTTAATTCTCTTCATCAAGAACACAGCCTGTCCTGTTCTTATATTGCAGTACTCGGATATTTGTTCCCAGCTTTGAATATTTACCAGGTACATTTTTCCCTTTTTTTTTTTTTTTTTTTTTGGCACAGATTTTGTTTAATCTTTGGCTAATATTCTTCTTCTTTTTCTTTGCGTTCACCAGCTGTACACTCTGGTGGAAAGTTCTGGTTGCTCGTCCACTACTGAACTGCAGTCCTGCTCCAGAACCTGAGTATTGCGTGTGCATCAGTTTTACAGATCTCATTCTCTTGAATACAGACTGTTGGTTCCTTGCCTCTCCGGCAGATGCACTCCGACTTCAAAGGAAGCTCCCCAATTAGTCGACTCTTACGACATGCTTTTGGGGAGGCAGTGGGTCTATTCTTGTTTTCCCCCACAATGGGGCCCCGGAACCCACACAGGGGTGGCTAATATTGATCTGTCTTCTTCTTCATCATCTTCTTTTTCTTCTGCTCCTGCTGCTGCTTCTTCATTAACCCATTTCCAGCTGAAGAACTTTCCTTGCGGCGGAGATGTGGTTTATGAGAAAAATTCAAAGAATATCATGGAATGATAGAAAAACAAATAAGGAGGAAACAGATGAGACAATGCTCCGAGAGACAGATGAAAACTCGGCTAGAGAACTTGGACATAGACTGTCTGTGGTTTTCACAAAATGGTGGCAAACTACTGAATGACAATTTGCCTAGACAAACCATAACTA